TGAAAAATAATCTTAGCCTAGTAAGATAAGACACAAAAAGTTACAATTATGAGCCATTTTGATACGATATCATAAGATACTCCAAGTTACCTTCACAAATTTCATTGAGTTATTTTACAATTTAAGCTTGTAAGTGTGATTTGCTTTGATGAGTTAACAAATAGTATTATATTAGTCAAAAAGCCTCTAGGGTGAAAAAAAATAAAATAACAGGCTCTTCTTGACCTTTGACAGATTCGAGGAAGCTTATTGATACTGAGAAACATTATTGTTTAATTCACTTTAGAAAATAATTTATAGCTCTCTAACCTGAATTTCTTTTTCTTAAACAAATAAAAACAAAACGTATGCTTTAATTGCTTTAAAACTACAACATCCATGTTTATGTATAAACATATTAATTATTCAGTTATAAAATATGAATTTCATTACTTTTTTTACCTATACAGTTTCGAATAAAGGATGGTTAAATGCGCAGATACCTTATTTATCCGTTGAATAACTTTAAAAATCTCCTCTGTAATAGTCATCTGGTTTCTTTTTTGTTTTCGGAGTAAAAGTGTCTATGAAAACCTTTCAAGCAAAAAATAGTGTTTTAAACAGTCGTTTCTTTTATTAATAAAAATATATAAGGATAAATTTCCTAAATGTTGTAGTATTTGCAGGTTTAATTGGATATATGGTTATTTTATTGTATATGCAATTTAGAAGACTTGAAAATGATGAAAAATGCCCTTGAATATTTCTCAGTCGGTTTCAATATATTTTTTCATTGCGTTTTAAAGATACGGATATGTTTTCAATTTTTGTAATCTTGATTAAAGTACATTATGCGTACAAATTTTTGTGTATCTATGTGATTAGAAGAGTAACGTATGTGCGTAGGAAGCTTTTTAAACTTCTTTCAACGATGCAAAAATTAAATTAGGAGTAGGGACGTACGAACGACATCACCATATGCATAAAGGACGGGTGGGTATTGTGTATAGTATTATGCATTGCAAAGAGAAATATATTTGGGGAATGGATCTGTCATCCCTCAGAGAGTAGAATTTAAAAGTTAAGGTTCTGTGTGTGTCTTTCTTCATTTTCTTATAGAAGCTTAGACTACCAGCACCGTCACCCTAGTGAATTTTTACAGTTGCCCCCAATATCAAAGTTTTGAATGTCATCAGATCTCGTGTTTCTTACTAGATAAGTCAAACGGTTTGACATTTTTTGTCAGAACATTCGGCTCAAAGTGTCTTTTGTATCAGAGATGTTTAGTGGGTATAATGTGTTGTGGAATAGGTTGAATCTCGCAGTCACTGAGACACCCCGCACGGCCATCATTAGTTTAGTTACAGAACGGAAAACCCACCGATTTCGGTGGCTACATATTTAACTAAGTAAGTAGCGTTGACACTGGAAGAAGATCAAGGGAAGTTATGTGTTTATATGGTTTTATTTTCAAATAAGCTTCTTTGAAATTTACATATGCGTGTAATAAAGGATGATAGGTTTTATGATCTGGAGTGATAAAACTGTTATCTATGTTAAGACTTCCAACTTAAAAATTTTGTTTATATGTTACCTCTTTGAAATGCATTACCATGAATATATATATATATTGTTCAAGCCAGGATTGTATAATACCCCAGTAGGAGTAATGTGAACTGTATCTTTAAATAGTTCTTAAGTAAATAGATGAGCTGAAACCAAACTGGAAATTTTGATGATCGGTAGGATATCCTACAAACTGCTTTATTTTGTAACTTAAAACGCTAAAAATTTACAAGAATTAGTTTAAATATATTACTTATGACGGTAAATTTGTAGTTACGATAAAGCTACTTAGGCTATTTGTCCCTACTTTTAAACTACTAAACAGAAGGAAAGTAGCCGGTCAGTAGCACTCTTCTACCACCACTCTCCATCTATACGAAAGGGTTAACTCTGATTCTTATGACGCACCCACAGATTAAAGTGTGGGAAAATTTTGTGGTATTGCTTGGATTCCAATCCGGCTCCGAAATCCAGAGCTTTACCACAGGGGCAACCAGCGCCGTATGATAGTAAATCAGAAACCCAGTAGATCACTTCAAGCCATAAATTAACGATGTAATATAGGGTCTGGGCAAGTTTTTAGTCATTCTGTTTTTAATAACCTTGAATGAAATCTTAATGAAAATACAGATGACCATTTGGATTGTAACAAAACTTCGCAAATGAAGAAAAAACACAATATGAGACTATTAATGTATGAATCAGAATATTTATTGAGTGTTGTGTAATTTATTAGAAAGATAATAGTAAGGCCTGGCATGGCCTAGGGGTTCGGGTGCTCGACTCGAAATCTACGGGTCGCCTAATATGTTCGCTCTTTCTGTCGTGGGAGAGTTATAATGAGACGTTCAATCCCACTATTCGTTGGTAAAAGAATAGGCTCAAGAGTTGGCAGTGGGTAGTGTTGACTAGCTGCCTTCTCTCTGTTCTTTCACTGCTAAATTAAGGACGACAACCTGGAGAGTAGGTGGGTGCCACCAGGTAAATCTGCTCGAGAATCATCGATGATGCATTAGCATCTAAGGTGCCCCAATGGTCGTAAGCGGCGTCGGGACTAAAAAAACAGAAGGTGGGAAAAGTAATGCATGGTACAAAAGACACATTAGTCAAATATTATAAGTAAAAGATTTATTAGATAATATAGTTCAAGTTTAGCGCAACTTTCCTTCCTCAATAATAGTAACCATAATATGGCCTATCTTTTTATCAGTAATATTTCATCAATTTGTCTTCACCGATTTTTATTACTGAAGCAGTTTCTGTCAACTGTTTTACAATAAGGCGTAGGTCAGCATTTCTTTCGAGGGGTGCCCAGTTTACAGGTCACCTGAGGAGATCGTTGCTTGGATCAGCACCTCTACTAAGTGTCGTCTAGTTTATTTTCATTATATTCAAAAATTAGTTGGCACCTTTATCGGTTGTGGTTAGGTTAAACATCGAGAGGTTAAATAACGTAATACCATAATTATCTGGCATTATCAAAATACCTTACCAGTATAGCTGAAATCTTGCTTTCTGAAGTTGATTTTAACAATAGATCAAATAGTTGACAAGATGTCTACAACCTGTAGTTATCACTACCCAGATACAACTAAAGATGCTTTAAATAATCTTGATCTGTCAATCAATGAAAAAAATATTACATTTTATTTGATAAATTAATAACATAAATAGAAAGTTTATTTTGTAGTTTGTCAATTCTGTTTACTATTTTCATATAACCAGAGGAAATAGTAACAATAAGAATGTGGTAACGGGAGAACTATACATGGACTAAGGAGACGTGCACCTCAAACCTATCGTTGTCACTGTTGAGAAAGTTATTAATGATTCTCATTTAGAATGCAGTCTGTACTGTTTCTGCTTATTTTTCTTGTCAAGATCTATCAACTACTTCTTGAACAGGAATTGTTCGTATTGAAAGTACCCTAACGTTTGGAGAGTTATACTTCTTATAACTCCATGATAACACACTGGTATGTCTACAAGTGTTAAAAACAAGAGTTAAACCATAATATCCACGTCCTCTACCAGCTACAGCTTTGGTTTCTATTGTTTATTAGGTAACACAAAATATTCTTTGGCTCACAGAAATATTTGCATTCAGTACTATTACTTCTAAAAACAAGGTAAACGCCTCTTTCACGAGTAACAAAGCATCATATAAACATTGATAATTGAGTCATACTAAGCTTCTGTCATTTTCCTTAGCGGCATTTTAATTTGATTATTTATTGTTTAGTTGGGATGGCATTTTATCTTTACTGGGAGTTCAAATACAAGCATCTTTACACCTGCACTTTTTACTCCAAATACTTTTTCTGTATTCACTAAACTAGTGTAAGCTTTTCCAGCAACTAGCCGTAGCTGCTCGTCTAACGAAGAAAATATGATGATTAAATACATTTATGGTAGCCATTGTTAATGAACAAGTTGCCCATGGATTATTGTACGGTCGACGACTTCTAAATTAGAGGTTTTACAGCGTGACAGATGAACAATGCAGGTTCTTGATAACTCTGTATGATTCTATCTTATCGTCTTTATTTTTTTAAGTAACACGTATTTAAATGTCTTCAGTTTCTTACCTGAAACTATATATTTTGTAAGGGACACCTTCAACTTGAATAGTACTCTCGCCCAACCAGATACCCAAGATGTTTGTTTTGTCGTGATGACGGTTTTATTAGGCTGTTGTGACACTTGACGTGTGTGCCACCAATGTGGCAAACCAGATTATGGCCCATGATTCTGGCTAAATTGTCGTTATCTCTTATTTTCTCGACACGATCACTTGATAAAAGATGTCGCTCGGCCTGTTACGGTGAAGAAACACGAGATAACGACATCAAAGAACAGCTACCTCGCGCGCGCCCTATCCACATGAACGTCACCGTAGACGACGGTCTCGGCACCAAAATCTCGTGCACCTTTCCCAGCCTCTGCGTGTCAGGTAGGCGGGGTCAGGTATTTTATCATCGGTTTCTGATTGGCTTGCTCTGGTCAGGTCATACAGGTGTTTTGTGACCATTTTCTCCGCCTCCGTCTTGACAACAAAAACTTGTCACAGTAACAGACAGAACACTTATAATCAAACTTATAGCTAAACGAGCATTGACCAGATTAATCTTTTTTTGTATTATCAAACTATTCATTCATATAACGTAATATATACAGCCACAACTAGAATCCGCACAACAGACAGTGTGTTAATTCTAATACCCGTATCTCATCTGCTGGTAGATATGTAACAGGAAAGAAGAAAATTAATATCTTCCGACTGCATATAAAATCTGGTATTGTAGTTTTATATCCGAACGAGTGAGGGCGTTAGTAGAGAATGGCGGGGAAAGTGAGTTAGCGGAAAAGCCTGTTACTAAGGCGCAACAGCCGTAATCTCTGTGAGTAGGTGAAAATAACGCGAACCAAAGAACGTGGGCTCGAACGAACTGTTTGGACCAGGCTATTTCTGTTCCACGTGTATGAGGGCTCTAGCTAGGGCTCTAGACGGTTTGCAGTTATAAGATTCTTCCCTAAGGATGTTATCGTGGCTAGCGGGTCACGAAAAACACGTGACGTTTTTAAACCTTGCTGTGTCCTAACCGAAACTACACCTACAACAAACAACCTTGTCGTGAATGTATGGTGTCATTTGTCCTGGGAGTAGGAGGGTCGGAAGGAGGGGCTCTAGTCGAGCTGATAGACAGTTATGATAGATTTTGCTGTCCTGGCACGTGAAAAACCCAACCACGTTTGTCTTTTTGCACTTCTGACAGAAGTGGACATACCAACACTGGCTCAGTTTAAGTGGATTCTTTCCTCCACCTAGGAAACTCTGTATCCGGAACGTCTGGTGTTAGGCTCTCATCCCTGCCACCGACAGCGGCCAAAACGACGGCTTCTGTGGTACCTACTCACGACGGGTGTGGATTGTGTGCAAGTGCGGTCCGCTCGTCAGCTGACGGCTGCTCTATGAACAACCGAGACCAGTTAGATAGTGGAGAGATTCGACGGACGTCTCTCGTCATGGATGTGGTAAGTGTTGTTTTGTTAGATACACTGTTCTATGTATAGAAAAAGCAGGAGCAGATGAGGCAGTATTTACAGTGTAATCAAGATATTTTATTGTGTTTTCATCGCATGGTCACTCAAAACCTTCCGCTTGACTAGCCTAATACAAACACACGAATATAAACATTGGACAAGTTAGCAAAGTTTGTTATATTAGTTTCACTGTTATTAAATCATTTCAGTGAACGTGTTTCTTATGTAAGATACTAACATTTAGTCTTCTGTAGTAGTGTTATCTGCTTTTATTTATAGACGTTGTTAATATTTAGTATAATTATAATGCAAGCCAATTACTTCAGTGTATTACATTTACGGCACGCATAAGTTACCCTTATTTAATGTTGTGACGTCACCATGTAAATACTTCATATCACCTCAGACGGCTTATAGGGCCGAGTAGGTGTCAAAATGTTGACCTCCTAGTTGCTTTAATCATGGGCTTGATTACTTGAAGACTGCTTGTTATAGCAGCAACCCCCTAATACAAGTACTCCAATCACCGTAAGGAAAAATGTTTTAGATTAGGTAGGTTTACTTGTTTATGAAAGGAAAAGTGGAGGTTGTCTTGAATTCATAACTAGTGATTAATTATTAATTAACACCGAGTTAATGCAGCAAGGATTATATTTGAAAACCCAACAAGCAGTTTAAAGTTGTCAATTACACGCTAAGAAAAGGTTTTTCTTTCGTCATTGTAATAAAATTAATTGGAAATAAATTCATTTTTAATATAATGTAATATAAATCGTAGTACACGATAACCAGTTTTCCGTACAAGTAATGTTTATTGCAACTTTATGTATGATATTATAGTGAGACCTATTTAAGCAGCTGTACTCAGATCAGCTAACACGTGTATAGATATTTGTTTATTTTTATACTATTCAGTATTGAGTTATTCTTATTTATATCGTTTATTATCTATTGGCTATAGCCACACAGTAAAACTTTTATACACGTATTGTATTTTTCGTTATTGATTTGTACAAAGAAAGTTAAGAGTTGGACACCAAAGAGAGAGATTGGATGTTTTTTAACAAATCTTTTCTTCAAATGTGTAACACATATATAATACTTTTGGATCTCTTCCTTGCTCAACTGATTTAATTTAGCCTTGTGGTGCTAAAAGGAAGAATCACGCTTGTGGTACCGATTTATGCACAGCTCAGTCTCAGTTCATTTCCTAGGCAAACAAGAGCGTGTCTTTAATCGATTGCGTTTGAATGGCAATCGGAGTTATTCTGTGTTCTCGTGGAGAGCCGATCGGCTCCAGCGGCTTCCCGAAGCCTAGGAAAGAACGACTTTACCGAGGAGCAGGTGGGAAATGAAAGACCTCTTGCAAACGCCAACAGACGACAGTTTTTGTTGGCCTCTTCACAGTACATTAGCTAACAAGACATTCCCTCCAGTTCCAATTTACCCTTTGTTAGTTGGTGCTGTTCGAGTTGCCGTTTTTTAAAGCCTTTAACCTGGGGCAATTTTCCTAATGTTCTAATGTATACCCCTTTCTATAAAAATGGTAGGGAAAAAATTGTTATTATTTTACTTTTACTAAAACCGGAAAATTCGCACTCACGAGTAATTGCATGGAAAAAAGAACAAGAAAAATCATTTGTCGTGTGTATGAATTAAGGTTTCAGGTGTATATTATAAAAACTTTTAGTGTGTTATGTGCACCATGTTTCTCTCATACACTATATAAGAAAACAAATAGGTACTTTCAACAGACAAACAGTTTAAGACAAGTTTGAGTATAGAATTCAATACATCAAGTAATTCTAATTCTAAATACGTTTTAAGATAGTTTGATGATTATATATGTTATTGATAAGGGTTACTGTTAACATGTAATATGTCTTGAGCAACGGACTTTGCCAATAAATGTTCCTTCATCGTAAGGTAAACGACAGAATAGCATAATAAAACTATAATAGATACATATGTATAAATAGTTACCTATATATGAGTGTGTGTGTGTGTGTGTGTGTGTGCGCGCGAGCATCTTTACGTATGCATACATTCTAACAAGCCTAATAATGTGGGGTATTGACACACGAAATACACCCAAATGATATCCTCGGGATGTAAATTCACACCCATTTACCAAAAGGGGTTTTAATTCTGAAATCACATTAAACCACACACTTTTGGTGAAATTAGTTACCTGAGTATTTGAAAAACTGTCTTTTGAAAAAGCTTAGAAAACTATTGAATATCTCAAAGCACATATAGGGATACTAAGCTACCTTTAAGAAACATCATAAAGTTACGGCCACAGACACTTTCACGTGTTTATATATATGGTCGCTGAAAATAATAAAGCTAGTTTTTAAAACCTTCCCCTGATATTCAGTGTTCGGAGATCTGTCCATAACATTATGATAATTTCATTAAAAGAGAAATGACATTAAGGTAGGTAATGTTTTAAATTTTTTGTTGTTCTAAAGTGTTGAGGAGACCGTATTCTAATTCTTGTGAATTCTAAGAAATATATTCTTTAAGGCATCAGTTTTGACCTGATGCAGATAGACTGACTTTGACTGAAGTGAGCATAAAAATGATCGTATTTACTTAAAGACAATCAAGTAGAAAAAGGTAATTACACAATTTGTATCTCATTGCAATATTCCAGATTCAACTTCAACTGCCTGTAGAAATAACAGTAAAAGATGCAATACCTTCATGAGGCTTGGAATGTTGCAAATAGCTACAGTTTCAACAACAGCATTAAGTCCTCTAAGTTTGTATCAGAACTTTATAATGACGCAAGTTCAGTGAACTCTAACTATTTCGCTTTAATTTATATTAAAAATGATATTGTGTGTTAAGTGATACTAGTAAAAAAATTATAAAAGTACTGGGTCAACATAATGAAATGAATTTGACATATAGCGTGAAGTTCATGAACGCTACAGTATATCTATGCATGTTTATAAAGTTCTAATTAATGAGTTCTAGTGTTTTATTATGGTTACTACTTCAGGCATTCTTTCACACTTTCGATTATTTCCGTATTAATGAATACCGTTTTGTAGAGAAAACAGATAATTTAAACTTTGTAACTCATTATAATGAACTGAAATTATTCGTTGCTTGAAACCGATGAAAGGAAATGAAATAACAAGGATAGAAACGCGAACTTTTACCATTGTTTGTTTGTAATTAAGCACAAAGCTACACAATGGGCTATCTGTGCTCTGACCACCACGGATATCGAAACTCGGATTCTAGCGTTGTAAATCCGCAGACATACCGAACTTTTACCATGACATGTTAATTATTCCTATTCTTGTAAAATAAAGAAATAATATGCACAAACTAAAATTATAATAAACGCTTCAAGATCGTTGCAACGGTAATATAATAATTTATTATATAATTTTTGGAGCAAGGGCAAAACGTGATAATATCAGCAACTGAACTGTACTGTACTGATTGAGAAATTAACAGCTACAACAGCCTCAAATTCAAAAAGTTAAAAGAAACTGGCGTTTTTAAAAAGCATTGTTGGTACACTTTTTAACCATATCAAATCAAAAGTTTCGATCATAAATATACTGGAAGTTCCTTTATGGTCTTAATTTATAAGATGTCACTACTCTCTATAACATCAGTTAACCAAACCGTCTTAAATCGTTGTGGAAAAATAGAAACTTGAATATTATTTTGTCCGAATTACCTTAATTTTTCCAAAAAGTTTGCTAAGTTGTTATTTTACAAATTGGAGTGTCTTGCAGGTACACTTGTTCGTGTTTTATGGTATATCCAGAACTCTGGACCCACAGGGAAAACACAACATTTATTTATTATTCAAGTTGCATGCCATTAACAACCATACACATATCAGTTATTTGTATACTGTGCCATCAGGGTATTTTCTTTCCTGAAATATGTACAACTGACACTAGAAATGCGTTTGTTTAACTTTAAGATTATAATGTCTATTTTACCTATGGGTCAAGACGTTTGGGACACCCTGTGTATATGTATATATTGTATGGTTATCATTTATCTAGTTAATCTTTTACTCTGACTTTACAGGGACAATCATAACAGATAACCTTGTGTTTTGTTTGTGTGTGTGTGTGTGTTTTAATTATATATATTATCATTCACTTCTGCAGTTTGTATTTTCTGAGTATATGTAAAAATGTTGACAGAGTGATCTAGTTAGTTACCCTTGCCTTCAAGAATGTTCGTTGCGATCAGTGCATGGTTGTTTTTCTTTTATCTGTCGACTAATATTGAATTATGTAAGCAATTATGGGAATCGGCCATGAAGTGCCGGATAATTAAACTGCTTGACCCTTGAGTGGTGGTTAAAACATACCATAGTACTGTTAACGAATCTAGCCTTGTTTCCAGAGACTTAGTATGGTTGGTAACTATATGCTTCTTCTTTTTTTTTCTTCATTAGAATCTATTGGTTGGCTATTAATGACAATACGGTTTTCACTAAGAAGGATTTTAGGCGACCTGGATTAGACTAACCAACACTTAAATGGGAAAAATAAACTCATCATCCAGTTACGATGAAAACTTAACTTTAAGAATTATCAATTTCAATTACAGTAAGGAAGGTCTGAGTGACAAAGAAACAGCTAAAATAAATATTTTTCTCCTCCAGACTTATTAGAAAAAGACAGTGTTTCAACTTTTCTTTAAGTCACCATCACGTATATTACGAATATGAATCTATATTTTTAAAAGAGTGTGAATTAATCACTAAACTTAACATAAGCTGCAGTATTAATGTTTAATTGCTCATTTATTTATCAATTTATGTCAGCTTAATATAAAAAGCTCAACTATTTTATTGTATTCTTCAGTTTTATTAATACGAAAATATTGCAACTTGAAATGGGAATTTTTAGAACTACATATCTGTACTATAAAATAAAATGAGGAGGAGAAACTGTGTATTTATGGTTTTCATCAAATTCAAAACTTATAGAATCAGTATT